ATTTGTAAATTGTGTGCTACATATCCTTTATGTCCCTAAAATTTATAATAAACTCATGTACATATATGTATTTTTTTCCTTCACTGAGCTAGCTGCTAAACACCGCTGAGACTCCTCCACAGATGTCCAAGCAAATGTCAGATTACCCTATGGGATAATTCAGTCCATATTTAAATGCCCCTTCCCTGGCAGCAGCCTCCTCTGGCTCTTTGTTGGTGGGTAATCAAACATTAATCCAGAGGGGCTTGTAGTAAATGCATTAACTGGCCTGCAGTGCCAGGAAAGTCACTTTCTCAGGAGCTTTCCCAATTAGTCTTGAAACTTGACTGGTGTAAAGATATAGTTCAACAAATAAGTATTTATTAAATACTGGTTTCTGCCTTCAATGAGTTTCCATTAGTTACCCAAACTTACAGTCTTCTGGAGGGAAATTACATGTGTAAAGATAATATGAAATATATAAATTAATAGAAAATAATTTCCAAAGAAGGAAAATGTTAACAACTAGAAGTAGATGGCAGGGATCAGGAAAGGGCTCATCTAGAAGATGGTACTTGAGCAGATCCTTTAATGGAGTTAGGAACTCTAAGAAAATTGAGGAGGGAGAGTATTTTCAGTTCAGGATCAGCCTGTACAAAGGTACAAAGATCAGAGACAAAATACTGTGGATGGGAGACAGAAAATAGGTCTTTTTGACTGGAATGTGGACCAATAAGAGGAATATGTGGGATAATGTGAAATGATTTGGGAAATGAAAAGTGGGAATCAGAGTCTTGTGTGGGAAAGTCCAAAGTCCAACTCAATTGGGGAGGGGAAGGGGGAGAGTCCTGGGCTTTAGTGGACAGGATGGATTGGAAAGGTGATGTGAACCCAAATCTAAAGTCAGGCTAAGATGTAGGGACAGATGAGAGAGCCAGTCTAAAGATGCCTCCTCTGGGCTCTATCTTCCTTATCCCATCATACCACAAATCTAGGTCTTGAAAAATCTACCAAAGAATTGGAAATTGAGAGAATGCCCATCAATTGGGGAATGGCTGACCAAGTTATATATTATTGTGATGCAATGTTTGTTGTTTGTCCTTCCTTCTCAAAGAGGGCCAATGACATCAGGAGGGTGATGTCTTGACTTTCAAGTGAACTGAATTTAAGTGAGGCAGGAATGTATAGTCACCAGCCTTACTCTCTCTTCTGGAGCCATCTGGGTCCAGTAGCAAGATATGAATCAGGATGACCAGAGATAGCCCTGGATGCAACAGAAGACCTTGGCCTCTTCAAAGCTTAGCTTTTTAAGCTAAGGTCTTTCCCAGGTTTCAGTTTGTCTGAGGCAACACACATTCAATGTTAAAGCTAGGTGTGAAATGAGGCAAAAAATGGCCTCTTTTACCTACTCAAGAAAAAAAGAAAAAAATCAGTCTGGGAGGGGAAGACCCTCTGGTCAGAACAGAAACATTCGGTGTTGACACCCACTCTGAGCCATCAAAACCCCCCAAAATGACCAAGTGAAGCTTGGGCTGGGACCTATCATTAGCCAATCAGGGAGAGCCAGAGTGATTTGGGTTTAAGGCAAGGTCAGATACCTCCAACTGAATCCCAATGGGCTTTATCTAGCTTGATTTTCCATTGCTATATTTCAACAAATCATAAATGAAACTACATGGGGCAAGAGTTAATTGTTCCAGGTTTTTTTTTTTTATGATAGAATAAATAAGTAGGGATGAGGAAAAAAATCTAGCCCATGAGCCCCCAGATATCTTGTGAGGTTTCAGTGATCATAATTTATATTCCTCTGGGCAGAGCATGCACAGGTAAGAGTATGATTATCTATGTAGACAGAGGAAGAAGAGGGAAAAGAGGGAGAGGAGGGGAGGGAGGGAGGGAGGAAGGGAGGGAGAAAGGGAAAAAGAAAGGAAGGAAAGAAGGAGCACAGCCCTGCCTCACTTAAATCCAATTCACTTGCAAATCAAGACATCACCTTCCAGATGCCATTGGTCTTCTTCAAGAACGAAGGACAAACAACAATCTGTGAATAATAGTAGCTGCCCCACTGGGAACCCAACTGGCCAGTTCCAGTTGAGCAATGCTGTCATGGAATACTATTGTGCTGTAAGAAATGATAAACAGGGAGACTTCAAAAAAATCTGGAAAGGCTTATGTGAACTGATGCAGAGTGAAATGAGTGGAACTAAGAGAACAGTGCATACAGTAACAGTAATATTGTACAATGATCAGCTGTGAATGACTGAGCTATTCTCAACAATACAATGATCCAAGACAATTCCCAAAGACTTACGATGAAAATTGCTGTCCACCTCAAGAAAAAGAACTGATGGAATCTGAAAGCAGATTGAAGCATACTTTTTTACTTTCTTTTTCTTTTTTTTTGGGGGGTTGGTCTGTTTTATTTCACAACATGACTAATATGGAAATATGTTTAACATGACTGCATATATAGAATTGATATCAAATTGCTTACTGTCTCAGGGAGGGGGGAGGTGAGGGAGGAAGGAAAAGAATCTGGAACTGTTTTTACATGTAATTGGGTTTTTTTTTTAATCTGCCAGTTAACTAGCAGGCTCACAATGTTTAGAACTGGAAAGGTCCTTAAAAACCTCTCTAGTTTGACCCCTTTATTTTACATATAAGAAAATTCAGGCACAGAGAGGTTATGGCTTGCCCAAGTTCTCACAGGTAGTTAATGTCAAAGTCAGGATTCAAACTCAGGTCTTCTGTCTCCAATTCTAGTGCTGTTTCCCTGGTTCCCTCTTTCTTCCCAAGTCTCTTATTTAAGAGTAGATCCACAGATTATTGCTGCTTAAAGGGACCTTAGAGATCATCTAGTCTAATCACCTCATATTAAAGAGAAAGAAACCAAGAACCCTGAGAGATGAATTGTCTTGTCTGTGGTCAGAGGTTCTAGAACACCGGTCCCCTGATTCTCAGACCAAGGCGCTTTGCCCTTATAGCAGAAAACTGAGGAGATAAGGGAAGGGGGAAGGAATGAGTATTTATTAAGCCACTATTATGTACCAGATATTATATTAAGGCTTTACAAATAGTGTCTCATTTGATTCTCACAACAATCCTAGGGAGGTAGGTGCTGTTGAAATGGGACCTGTTCCCCTGAAAGCAGCCCAGATCCTAGCCCAGCCCACTTAGATACTCAATAGTCCTTTCACTGTGACTCTCTGACCCATCCCAGACCACTTAACTCCTTTCACTGTCACACCTGGGCCTCCCCAGGCTATTTACCATCCTTAATCCTATTCAAATCTTCTCACGGTCCTCTTTTGTATGTAAATATCAGTCTCACCCCTATCGAGGAACAGATTCATTAGAAATCTAGCCTGCTCATCTGGTGGTACAACAAACCCTGCTACTTTGACTGAAAGAAGGCTCAAGCGCCTGAATTCTTTCCAGGCAGATCCCCCTGTAACCTGACATTTTGGGGTTCCCAAACCCCACACCACATCACTATTATTATGCCCTTTTACAGGAAACTGAGGCAGTCAGAGTTAAGTGACTTGCCCAGAGTGACACAGTAAGTGGCTGAGGCCACATTTGAACCCAGGTCTTCTTAACTCCAGGTCTAGTGCTCTATCTCCTCGGCCATCTAGTGATAGAGATCAGGACCAGTCTTCACTTTGCTCAGCAAATTAGCTGACATTCTTCAGTTCCTTTGATGACCTAATTGCTTTTTTTCCCCTTGGCTCTCAAACTCAGATCAATTTCCTCATTTTTTTGTCTTGGGCCTGTTTTGCTGCTGTTGTTCTTTTTTTCCTACCTGAAAGTTAGAATTCAGTGATCTAATAGGGCTTTGTCAGCTCATCTTCTATGATGAGGTAAACTGAACAAATTTTTTTTTTACCGTGAAGGGGAAGGGAAAGGGAAGGGGGGAGAAAAGAAGAGAGGGGAAGAAAAGAGAAAGAAGAGGAGAAGGGAAGAGAAGAGAAAGAAGGGGAGGAGAGCAAGGCAGGGAGTAAGAGAGAAAGGGAAATAAAGACAGAGGAATATCCAACGTCTCCAATATAATAAAAGGGAAATAAACCCTATTAAATGGTGAAAGTCATGGCCACTACTGAGCCATTTTCCGCAGAGATTGAGCTCAGTTGAGAAGGATCACCTCTGAAGACTCAGAGATGGAATCAGGAGAATATGTATCAACATAGCTCAAAACTCTTCCGAAAGGCACTCTTTCTGGATTCTGACCCATGCTTATTACTAATATTACTGCTGCCCCCCAGAGCATACAAAGACCTGTCTCCAATATATTCCCCAAGGAAATACTGTCAAAGACTTTCCAGGTGCTCTTGGTGAAAGGTTCTGACCAACAATTAGACATAGATTCAGAGCTGGGGGGCTCCTTACAGGTCATCAAATCCAAGCTCCTCATTTTATAGATGAGGAAGCTGAGGTAAATTGGAAGTGAAGTGATTTGCCCAGAGTCACACAACTAGTAAATGTCTCAGGCAAGATTTGGACTCAGCCCTTCCTAATTCCATTTCCAGAGCTCTACCCACCACATAACCTACATGATCCATCTTCTTCCATGTCTGGTCCACAAGATCATACCCTTTCCTGCTGGCAGTTCAGACTAGTGACTGCCTTTTTGTCATTTACAGGTAACATCTCCCTATCTTCCTGTGACACAATGGGAACCAGGGTGGGCTGGTTGCTCCTGCTGTTGTTTCAGGAATTCTGAAGTAAAAGAGGGAAAATACAAACTGAATATTTCAGTCCATGGTTAGGCATAATACATAAGGTACAAGATTCAAGGATCAAGTGATGGTGAAGGATCCCAAATAATCAGTTTGCTAAAAATGGCTCCAGCGTGCTAATTGTTAAAGTTTTTGAGTGACTTTTTATGCTTCAGAAATCAACAACTTTTATAAATCAGGACTTGACTTATATTTTGTTGATTGTCTAGGCTTAAGAAACTGATGGATAAAATTCTAATAATATAGATAAAACTTAAAAATGTTTTATGTGTACTTTTTTTTCAGAGATCCAGTTGCTAGACATTTACCAGCCCTTCCTACAAATAACTGAAGAGGTTGAACAAGTTTAACTACTTACTAAATGGTGAGTATCCTAAACTGAGTTTCTCATTGCTAAGACTCACCCCCATTGAACATCTCTAACTGTGGTATCTACTGAGAAGGATCTATAAACTAGCCAGACCTGATCTCCAGCAGAGGTGGATCTACTCAGTAACAGTTTCCCTTGCTGTCAGGTTCTACAGTAAAAAGAGCAAGGCCTACTGGGTTGCTGAGAGTCCTTCCTAGAAATTCCATTCCCATGTTGCCCAGGCAGACAACTGCTCCATCTTTGAGATGTTGTTATTCAGTAGTCTCTGACTCTTTGTGACCGCATTTGGGGTTTTCTTGGCACAGATACTGGAGTGCTTTGCCATTTCCTTTTCCAGCTCATTTTCCAGATAAGGAAACCAAGGCAGAGTTAAATGACCTGCCCAGGGTCACACAGTTAGGCAGTCTCTGAGGCCACATTTGAACTCAGAAAGATGTGTCTTCCTGACTCCAGGCCTCACATTCTATCCACTGAACCACCTAGCTGCCACATTCTCAACTTGTAATGAGGATGGCCCTAGTGCTGAATGTCATTAATGCAAACAAATGCTTTCATAGGCATCCCTCCTCTGCATCTACCCAAAGAGTGTTGAGACTTCACTTTGGAGTTTAAATTTAGCCTGAGCTTTTCTTCTCTGTTTGCAGTAGGATCAAGTCCCAGTAGATCAAGCAAGATTTGTCTCCCCATATAAATGTTACCTTGGTTTGATCAGTAGAAAAAGTACAGGGCTACGTCTTAAAAAACAACTACACTGACCAGGGAAAGTCAATGTTTCCTCCCTCTGACCTTGGGAAACTGTCAGTGGCATTGTGGAGTAGGTTCTGGCAGAAGCTGGAGCCCTAACTATTGGAGGACCTTTATAGTCACAGGTACCTGCAAGAGCTTCTCTTACAGTTGAGATAGATAGCATCACGTAGTGAGGAGAGCCGTGAACTTGCCTTGAGAAAAGGGCTGGGATTGAATATTGTCTCTGACACTTAGGAGCTACATGGCCCTAGGTAAGTCACAAGACCATATGATCACAGAATCTCAAGAGTCTGAAGGGACATCTAAGGCTGAGTCTAACCCAGACCTGAATAAGAATCCCCCTTCAACATCCTCAACAAATTGTCACCCACCCTTTGCTTAAAGATCTCCAGAGAGAGAGAGAACCCGCTATCTGTCTGGGCTTTAGTTTCCTCATGAGTAAAATGGAGATACTAATGCCTATAGTACCAACATCAGGATTGTTGGGAGCATAAATGTGACGCTATACATAAAGTAATTGGTAAGTCTTAAAGCACTAGATAAGTATCAACCATTATCGTGATTCTTGCTAGCTCAAATGCATTTCTAGTAACTGCTCCCCTATTTTGCTCACCAGCTGCATGAGCCCTTCCAGTTTTTGTAGGAAAAGAGAATGGGACTCTGGTAAAGCTGGTGAACACACATCCTAATCTCTGGCAAAGATGCCCACTGCTGGACAGTTGTCCCTGGTGGGAGATTATATTCAGTCCTGAACGCTACACAGATCTGATAACAAATCTCTATGTAAATTCCTTCTTAGACGTACTCAGGCTCCTAGCTCCCAGACAATACAGTACCTGTCCAATGGACCACACAAGATCTCCCACCATTCTCCAAGGAAACACAGAACCACTACATAAGATTTTGATTGGCTCTCTTCCTATCTCAATGCCTTTGTGTGGGCTGTCCCACTTGTCTGGAATGTTCCCACTCCTGATCTCAAACTCCTTTCCTAGCCTCCTCCAAGGCTCAGCTCAAGTACCTCCCTGATTCCCATACCCAGTTGTTACAGCCTCCCTCCTATATTATTTTGTATTTTATTTTGTATATATTGTGCATTTAATTATTTGTGTGTGTGTTGTCAACCCCCCCCCAGTAGAATTTAAGCTCCTTGAGGGTAAGGACTATTTTTGCATCCCCAGAGCATAGATAGCACTCATTGTTCCTGTCAGATAGGTCTGCTGAATGACTGAATGGTACAGCAGCCAGGGCCATATACAACACCACTAAGAAGACAAGAAGGAAAAACCTTGGACCACCCAAACTGAGCAAGTGTAAGCTATTCAGGGTTTTACCTACCATCTACCTACCCACATACACAGGGGTTTTATGGGCTGTTCAGGGAGGTCTAGCTCCTTGGTGTTGAGGGCTGCTCATCCTTCTTTGGTGTCCACCTTCATCCAACTCTCACTTGTGGCTCCAAGAAGCTGTAGTGTGCTCAAACCATCTCAGCAGACAGGCTAAATCAGGTTGAGGGTAACCAACAGGCTTCAAACCCATTGGGGGGATGTCTACCCCGACTATGTGAAGACTTCCCCTGGCAGAATGGGCAGATGAGAACAATTTGTTCCTATATCCGTGAAGGTGACTGAAGCAGGTGCTGTGGAGTGCTTAGAGCTTAGTCAGACATCAAAGTCCCCAAGGTCATTCACTGCATCCCACACCACTGCCCGTCATTCTGACTTTTGTCCTGCCACTGGACTTCGAGGACTCAGGAAGAAAGGGTAAGGCTGATGACTGTGCAATTCTGCCTCACTTAAATCCAATTCACGAGCAAGTCAAGACATCACCATGATGTTATTGGTCCTCTTTGAAAGCAAAGGACCAACAAGAACAACCTTTACCACAATGAAACTCAAAAGAGTGTGCTGGTTTGCTTAGTATACACAACCTAAAGGAAGTACAGAGTTGGTCTAAGTACCTGCTAGATCAAGGTAGAGTACCTGATGCTTCTCTCAAAGACATCATCCCAATGATCTCCCTCATCCAAGCTTATTACTTATATTCCTCTCTATTGCACAGAGCCAGATAAATTCCTGTATCTCGTTGCTTGTGGTTAACAATGCATCACCTCTCCACTCTCCCCCCACCCCTCTATCATTCTTTAGGCAGAGACTGGATGACTGTTTATCAGGGACGTTATAGAGGGAATTCCTGCTCCGGTCCAATTTGTCCTCAGAGGCTACCTAGTCCAATACCAGATGGCCTCTGAGGACCCTTCCAACTCTGAGATGCTGTGGTTCTAGAATTCACGTTAGTACACTGAGCTGGTTTTGTTCACTAGAAACCATGCCGCTTCCTACGTGATGTACATAATAAGGAGCAGACTTCATTCATGGAGTCTTAGAGTGTCATTGTGGACAGAATGTTGGACTTGGAAGCAGGAAGATATGGGTTTGAGTCCAGCCTCATATACTCATTAGTTATGTGATTCTGGACAAATCACAAATTCTCTAAGCCTCACTTTCCTCATCTGCAAAATGGGGTAATAATAATAGCACTTACTCACACTATTGTTCTGAGGCTCCAAGGAGGTAATTCTTATAAAGTACTTTACAAGCCTCATGTCCATGCAAGCTATTATTTTTATTGCCATCTCTTAGGGCTCATTCTGTGTAGGTGTATCAGAAATATTTGTAAAGGGAAAAAAAAGATCCCATTCCTTTGCAACTTCCCCACTGTCCACTACCCATCCCAAGCTGCCCTAAAAACACTTAGCACTAGCTTGCAGGTGGCTGTCACATCAGTTCCATTCTTGTGAAAGGTAGTCATTGGTTAGCAAGCTGGGGTTACTGGATACCAATTGTATGAAGAATAATATAATAATCCATGTGACACTTTAGCTTTTGCAAAGTGCTTTATAAATATACTCTCATTTGATCCTATCAACAACCTTGGGAAGCTGTTGATATGAATTATTGGGATTGCTCTGACTTTTCCACTATGACTCAGAAGTGGTGCCTTTCCTTCTCCCTACTCCACCTTCCTTTTCAGCCTCCTTTTGTGTCGCCTTCGCCCATTAGATTATAAACTCCTTGAGGGCAGGAACTGTCTTTTTTTGTATTTCTCTGCCCAGTGCTTAGCACAGTGCCTGGCACATAGTAGGCACTTGATAGATATTTATTGATTGATATTAAAGATCTGAGGCAGGATTCAAATTCGTGTCTTTCTGACTCCAACTCCCACACAGAATAAGGAATATTCTTGGGTATGAAGCAGGAGATTAAATAAACTTTTAGACTTTAAAAAAATTTGACTGTAAATGAATTGTTACAAGAAAACTCAGTGATTCTCAAAGTGCAGTCTCAGGACCTGTAGGGGTCCCCATGACTCTTCCAAGTGGTCCAAGAGGCCAAAACTATTTTCATCATGGTACTAACATCTAATTTCTAAGAAGGTATATATCAATTGATATGTTTAACCTACACAAGCAAGAGTTCTTGGAGAGAGGGTCCTCAATAATTTTTAAGAGTGCAAAGAGATCCCAAAAGCTTGAGAACCTGTTTGAGCGGCTAAGGAGGAAGCAGGGGTTACCTGTCTCTTTTAATAAGTTAGGCAAATCATTAGTTAATGAGCATTCATTTGCCACTTTCTCTCACCACTGAGACTAGCTGGAGCAGCAGCCTCCCGCCCACTCCAGAGGATAAGTGCAGCCACTAGACTAAATTGGAAAGATAAGAAATCTAAACCTATTCTGGTCTCCCCCACTAATCTGCCACATGACCTTGGGAGTTGCTTAATCTCTCAATCCCTTCTTTTCCCTGTGTATGGAGTAATAGCTGCTCCTCCCTTGATTACAGGCTGATTGGGGGATTCAGGAGATAGTGTTGGAAAAACAGACCTGGCTTTTGGGGGTAAAGTACAAAGTATTTATTTGTTCCCCTCCCCCACCTTATTCCATTAAACCTCTTAGTGCACAGAGACCAGGGAGCAGATCTTAGACCCCAGAAGCTCGTCCTCAACCCACTATTAGATATTTGGGAAAGAAATGGAGGAGTATTAAGGAAAAGCCCCTGAATTCCACACGCAAAGAAAACACACAGTAAGAAGGACTTACTGATCCCCTTGCTGTTCAATCATTTTTTCATTGGTCTGACTCTTTGTGACCCCATCTGGGGTTTTCTTGGCACAAATTTTATGAATGAGGAAACTGAAGTGAATAAAGTTCAGTGACTTTCCCAGGGTCATACAGTAATGAACTGTCTGATTTGAACTCAGGAAGATAAATCTTCCAGATTCTAGAGCTAGAGCCCTATCCACTTGCCATCTAACTGCCCTGCCTCCTGGGCCCCTATCAATCAACAAAGCAAACTAGGTAACTGTCCTAGAGCAGCTGTGTGGCCTCTGGCAAGTCACTTAGCCTCTTAGTCTCAGTTTTCTCATTTGATAATCTCTTACATTGTCCTAGCACACAAATAGAATGCTGTAGCCCTCTTCTCTACTCCTCCACCCTCTTCCCTAAATACCCCCCAGCTTTTCTCTTGCCCTTTTGTCATTTATTTTCCTTATCCTTCTAAACTGTCCTTGTTGTTCATTTTAATATAATTTTACTTGAGTAAATATGTTAGGGGAGGTTGGAGTAGGTGAGCACACTGAGTTGCCTCTAACTCCTTAGTCTGACATTCAAGGCTCTCTACAATCAGGCCCTTACTGGGAAAAATGACCTACTCTCTTTGCCCCAGTGTAACATAGTGGAAATAGCACTTGGATTTGGGGTCAGAGGACCTGAGGCCAGATCTGAGTTCTACTTACATCAATGACCTTGGGCAAATCACTTCCTTCCTTCAAACCTCAGTTTCTTTAACTGTCAAATGAAGGAATTGGACTAGATGACTAGATCTCTTCCAACTCTACATCCTGCTATCTCCCCCAATCTGTTATAAAGAGTTATGGACTTCTTAGTCAGAGGACCTGAGTTCAAATCTCAGCTGTCTTACAACCTGTGTGACCTTGGACAAGTCACTTGAATTGTTTCCCCATCTGTAAAATGAGGAGATTGGATTAGATGGCCTCCAGAAGTCAATTCCAGCTCTAGGAGCCTACATCTTGCAATGTCCCACTCTGAGTTCTGTCCTTTCTGTCTGGAATATTACTGACAATCCTCAGCCAAGGCTCAGCCTTGGATCACTGCCACCATTCTTCACTCTCTCCTATGCACATGCTCTGACACACAAAGATGGAGAAAATCGCCATTCTGATTGAGTTGGCTACAAATTTGTGTTACACAACCTCAGCTGGGCCCTCACTGCTGCTAGGTAATCCTGTCATACCTCCCTTACCAACTCACTATCCCAATCTCCATGGTGGCCCTTCCAAACCTTTTCATTCTTCCTTCAAACCTCTCCATACACTTGCTCTCTCAGCTGAGAACCTCACTTCATACTTTACAGAAAAAAAAAGGGGGGGGGGCTATTCACTGTGATCTCCTATCACTCAGGTGCCTTCTGCCACTATCTTCTCCTTACCAATGCTAACTCCTCTACCTGCTCAAGCGATCTCTTTCTCTTCCCATCTTCTCCAAAAGATCGCTCGTTTCTCATCCCCACTTTTTTACTTATTTCCACTCTCTCCGTTTACTGTCTCATTGCCTGCTGCCTACAAACATGCCCTTGTCTCTCCATCCTGAATAAAAACCCCTACTTGGTCCTTCTGTCCTCATAACTATCATCATAATAGATCTCTTTCACCCTTTGTAGATAAACTCCTCAGAAAGGTCGTCTACAGTAGAAGTCTCCACTTTCTCTCCTCCCACTCTCTTCTTACCCCTTTACAATCTGGCTTTTGATTTTATCTTTCCACTGAAACAGTTCTCTCCAAAGTTACCAGTGATTTCCTCACTGCCATATCCAATGGCCTTTTCTCTGTCCTCATTCTCTTGACCTCTCTGCAGCTTTTGACACTTTTGATCACTCTCTCCTCCTTGGTA